ATGCTGCGGCATGCCAACCGGCATGTTTGGCTGCATAGCAGGCTTAAAGTTAACCCAGACTGACTTGACATGCGCCGTGAGCTCCTCGAGGCTTGAACAGCGCTACGCTTCGACGAGCCTAATTTTCAGCATAACCAACAAACATTTATGAAATTTTGATCCGATGAGGTGCCTGGCATGTGATCTTGCCACAAACGCCTGTCACAGTCTTTTTGCACCGCTTTTAAGCTTTGCTTGACCTGTGCACTGATGCACTGTCTTGCCTGAAGATGGGCCTACGACCTCTCGGATGCCATTTTCTCCTCTATAAATGTGTTCATACTCGCGGTTCGAGTTCAGCTTGAGGGCTGAAACTCCTCCTAGATGTTCTTGGAAAAGCATTATGCTTCCCAAAGCTGTTTCTGGGACACCAATCGCAACCTGGTCAGCGTCTGGACGCCTATAACCCCACAATACCGTGACCTTGGCCTTTCGCATAGGAACATAACGGGACGAAACGGAGGCCTCCTCCTTCGCCCTTATGGGGTTGTTTTCGGGTTTGAACGGGTGTTTCATCTCGAATGTGGACTAGTTAGTCCAGATGACCTGGTTGATGTCCTCAGCCCTTTAGTTTTTTTTTTTAGCCTCAGGCATAACGAAACTCATGTTTGGCCATTTTAACCCTCGCCGGCCGAGGGGGGGGGGGGCGGGTGCCGCCCCCCCCCCATAGGGTTTTTTTGCGATAGCTCCGAACACACTGGCGATAGAGAGCTAAAACTTGGCATACCTGACCTTTGATCCAAGCCGGATCTTTTGACACCAACCGCATTTTTGGGTCAGGTCAGGTCACTGACCTATGACGTCATAAGTGAACCTCTGCACGGTCTTCAGATGTCGCAACTTCGCAACGCCCTCACTGCCAGAGGAGATGTCACAGGGAAATGAAACTTGCAGGATCTAGTATCCATTATGAGTCCCACAACTTGTATATCTCGGATTTTTCCTAAAGGTCATATGAGGTCAGGTCATTTTCGTGACCTCACCATTATAAGTCAATGGGGAAAAATTCAAACTGCTATTCTGGCGCCGGGAACGATCTCCAACTATCTCAAGCACACAGAATCGTGATTTGATGCACTCCTTGCAAGGTTAGATGCGTCACTTTTGCAATGTTGACCTTGCGTGACGTCATTTATGACGTCATCAAGGTCATATTAGTTTTTCGTCAATAACTCTTGATCAAATTGAGCTAGCGAGTCGGGAAAGCCACCAATGGACTCAGGAAGACCTGCCGAATCGAATGATATGCGACATGACCTCTTTCGACCAACTTCGTGACCTGGAGGTGCTGACCTGACCTTGACCTGAGGTCAACACCCCAAGTTGACCTGACCCGGACAAAAAGTATATCATTCGACGCGCCTGAGCGAGGCGAACACGATGCTGCCAAAATCGGCGCTCTGCGGCCGTTTTTTGCGAAGTTATTCACCAAAAACTGAGCCGTACCTTTGGGCACTTGACCTGACCTCAGAGGTCACCGGTTGACCTTGGACCTTAAAATCGGGTACCAATCTCTGCGTCTCGTAACGGCGCACACGCTCGTTTTTTCCGCGACGCGCTAGCTCCACCAGGGGCGAAACGGCGAGGGGGGGTCGTACCCGCCCCCCCCCCCTCGGCCGGCGCGTATGTAGAAAACCAATAGGTCCGGCGAGGGTTTTAAGACGTTTTTGACTGTTTTGAGCCCTCCGGTAAGCAAAGCTTAAGTCACCTTGAGTTATGTACCCCGAAAGAACACTCTTAGACAGCTGGTAATCCATCCCGAAAAGTCTGCTTACCAACTTTCTAACCCTTTGACCTTTTTGATGGCCACTTTGGCGCCACACAGTTTTGGCTACACGGCTCACTCCTGAGAGCTGACAAAAAAAGAGGATAAACTTGCAATGATTGACTCCCGACAAATCATCGGTGTCACTTGCTGACTGTGCGTCCAGTTAGCGATGGACATTGTCTTCAGACTGGTAGGCCTCAATCACCCTCAATCGTCGCGAATGGTCACGTGCTAACTAAATACCGAGACGTACCCGTATTGGAGACCTCTATGTTGCGGCGTTAGCCGTCTGTGTAGGAAACGGGCTCTCTAGCAAAAACTATTTTGTCTACAGAAATTAGTCACTGTGGAACACATTTCTACCAGCCATGACAACCACGTAAGCTCAGTAACGAGCCAATTCCAACGTGCCAAGAGAGCCTAAAAGCGTAAAATTTAGGTGAGAACGAACTTATGGGACACCCTGTAGAACTGGCAAGTCAGTTGGTTAGTAAAATACGTAGAAGACCTCTGAGGAGGCGTCGCTCCATGTCAACTCAGTGGCAACCTGTCAAATCTATATGCTTGCTTTTGTTTGCACTTCGTCTATTCCGTATACGGCTATGTTGATCGATTCACCGATGCGTTAGCTCAAATGCCAAAGCTAAAACTCTATCGATGAAATGGCAGCCGCACATATGTAAATTCAATACATCTTCCCGTACCTCACCCTTCACCCTCTCACTCCACCTCTCGCCGACATCTCACTACTCTCCTCCCCTCCCCCTCCTGAGTTCGCGGTCAGTGCTCTCGAGCGACCGTACCTGGGGCGTTACCAAGGCGTCAATAAGGTGTCCCGCGCACTGGGTCAGACCAGTCCGGGCGCCAGTTGCTGGGTGGCCGGAGGAACCAGTCTGGATTGAGGGTTTGTCGTGAACACAGAGCCAGAGCCGCCTGCCGCGCCGAGGGGAAAGAAGGGCGACCGCAGGACGAGGGATGTGACAGATTAGTGAAGGAAAGGGGAGAGGGAAGGGTGGCGAGTGAGGGCGGATGGGTGGCGAACAAGAAGAGAGGAGGGAATAGAACAGGAGAGGAGAGATAGAGAGAAAGAGAGAGCGAGGGAGAGAGAGAGGGAGAGAGGGCGAGAGAGAGAAAGAGAGAGAGAGAGAGAGAGAGAGAGAGAGAGAGAGAGAGAGAGAGAGAGAGAGAGAGAGAGAGAGAGAGGAATAGGTGAGTGGGTGTGGGGGCCGCGGAAACAAGGACACGACGTACGGCATGTGTCACCACGCGCTTTGTGCAGAACCGGTTCCTGTGAGAGATTTGTGGGCCATCTATAATAGAAAGGTGACGGAAAGCGGCGAACAATGTACAATTGGTACTGTTAGGTGTGAAAACTTTTAAAAGCAGCATACCGGCAATTATCTACAGCTTTAATGATGCCATGCATTTGTTGCTTTATTGTTACGATTTTTTGGGTAAGTTAAAAGTTTTGATGCTTGTGAAAATTGACGTTGAAATATGCTTGCACCTAATTGCTTTAAATTTGGTACTATTTAGAATCAGTCAGACGGTGGAGAGCGATAGGTTATGATTTTTCCACTTACTGTGCTTCCGTTATGCGTACGGGCTACTGTCGCGCTTTACCAGGGATAGCAAGATTTCCACACCGCATATCCTTCATACAGCTGAACAATCAAGGATCTATCTGAACTTTCCACACTCTGACGCGCCTCTATCAGATGGCCACGATCGCATGGAATGCGGTCAGAGCAGGGTTACTTGCGATGCTACTGCCATGTCAGATCACCGCTTGATGAAGCTTGATAAGGCACTACCGGGGATGCATGCCACTCAGAAGCAAGAGAAGCTACTCATGCTAAGCCGGCTGCCTAGCTGAGGGCATACGCGGGGATAACTGTGCATATCTGGGCTTGTTTGTTGACTGATGAAGCTGGCTTGCGTTTGCCATCGCTATACTAAACCACAAAGCCAGTCATGCCCAACCGCCAGATGAACAGCACACTGACGTTTAGTAGATATATCCGGGAAAAGTGACCCGGTGAGCTACCTTATGAGGCGGAGACTGTCCGTCTATCCATCATGGCTGCTGAATAGCAGCCAGCAGGTGGCCAAAGTATGAGCTTATAATTCAGTCAGAATGAACTCACTTGGGGCCGGGAGGTAGACTATCTAGACTTACGTTCATAAGTCCCATAACAAAGTAATTTTGAGGCACAGAAGTTCATTGCAACAGACATTCATTGCAAGTTTTTTTCCCAGAGCACGTAGGTTATTCGTACACCCAAGGCCAAACATCACCTAATGAATGAACGAGAAACCAGCCTTTCCACTGCTCGTCTGAAGGTCATTCTCAGTCTCGTTTACACAGCTTTTCGGTCAGCGGACATGGCAAGCCGCCAGATCAAACCTCAGTGACGACGTGGAATCCATGTGAACCTGAGCGCCCGGTTCATCAGGTCTGATAGCGGCACGACCCGACCGGCGAGTGAAAGCTCTGCCGTATCGTTGCCAATTCATCTCGCAGTGAGAGGGTGGGCGGCTGATCATAATTATTGCACGACTGCGGATGATTACATTCCACCGTCAAATATGACCGAGTCGACGGGCTGTTGGGTTTCTCTCAGCCTACTTTTGGGCCATACGACCCCATGGGACTGGGTGGTGCCTTGACCGGGGGCGTCTTACTATCGGTCGTTACCAGCCAGCTCTTATGGCAAACAACCATAACCTGTACCTACTTAGCTTCATTTTACGCTAACATCATCAGAGTTTTCCAGCGTAGGTGCATTGTTTTCACATGAGAAGCGGGAAGTTTGGGGTTCATGTATGGTAATGCAACGTTTATGATCGGGTAATTGGACGGATATTATATCGAACTCCGCCCCAGACATTATAGTCTTTTTAAGCGTCTCGTGACTGCCTCATGAACGGAAAGGCGATAATTAATATCACACACATTTTCATTAAGCTTGAATAGGTAGAGACCTGTAAGTGTAGGCCCACCAGCGAGGCAGAGCCTTAGTGTCGATGAAGTTCGTATTGAAAATGTCAAGACGACTGAACATAATCGCTTTTTATCGCATCGAAAAATTAGGATGTTTTGACTGTACATAGTGGGTGAAAAAAAGCATTGCGAAATGCGAATATAAACATTGTAGAGGACTTTGTAACGCATTTCACAGAGTGGACTGACCTGATCGATGCCGTTGCCGTAGCGCATCAGGATCGGGACGACCACCGTGGCGTCCTGCATGTCCTTCACCTCCTTCTTCAGCTGCGTGAAGTGGAACAGACAGTCCTTGTCGTGGTCGATGCGTCTCTGCAGGATGCCCAGGAAGACGTCCAGGCTGTGATTGCCCAAGATCGGCTCCACCACGTTCAGGATCGTCTTGTTTTTGATGAGCCGCTCCTGGATCTCCTGCTGAGTAATGCTGAGCTGCCGTTGGTGTGAGACCTGGATCGGGGCCGGGCCGTGGCTGATGCTGCGACTGATGGTCTGTTTTGAGGACGTGGACAGACTCAGCTCCTCTAGCTTCTCCAGCGCCGCCTTGTAAGAAGTCACCACCTTCTTGAACTCGAGTTTCAGTGCGTCGTGCAGGTTCATCAGCGATCCGTCCGACGTACCCACCATGCCGTGGTGACCCATTCCTTCGATCGCCTTGTCCAGTGCCTTACGTCTGCCAACAAGCATCTTCTTGATCTTGGGATCGGTGTGGACGATGACCTTGAGCAGTTTCTTGCAGGAGGCGATGAACGGGCCGCACTGCTCCCACTTGATGTTGCCCGTCAAGCTGTCCTCTTGCTGAGCGAAGAACTTGACCATCTGCATCACGACGACGTCTGGCTTCAGCGTCTTGACGGAGAAGTTGAGCCCGTCGGAGAGGAACACCTTGGCGTACAGCGCCTCCAGGATCGGCAGACTGTCGGGCATGGACTCGATGAACACATCCACGGGCAGGTCGGTCAGGATCACCTTGAACGTGCCGTGACTCAGGCGGTTGACAAAGTTAGCGGCCTCACGGTACTGCTGGTTCTCGTACATCTGCAGGATGCGCTTCACCGCAAACTTGGGACTCACATCAGCAATAGTCATCGAGCTGATGCGGTTGAGGTCCAGGTAGCTGCTCGGCTCGTCTGCGTCACCTTGCCACTTGCTCTTCCTCCACTGCAGACGCTGCACAGGACGACGGTGAGCCTTCTCCGGGCGGAACCTCATCTGCTTCTCCGGCGCCGGCTGATGGTGAGGAACCATAGTCTGCAGCGGCATCGCCGGCTTGTAGGTCCACGTGGAGGTCTTCATGGCCGATAGGTCCATGGGGAGCGAGGCGCGTGCCCCCAGAGGGTACTTACCGCGCAGGTGCAGGTCGTGGTACCGCTCCAGACGGTCCCCGTTCAGACTGTGTGGGTTAAACATGTCTGCGCACGGGGTCGAACGATCCCCGAGTGTCCTCAAATTCTCGTAACCTCACAGTTCACGCACCAGTCTCAAAGTTCCCACTGTCACTCTGTCACCTATCGGCCCTCTACCACTTCTAGTCACCGGGTCGCAAGCGAGAGCGTGGGACGCAGCGCGTGGCAGCGGCGGTGCGGGAGCGCTCGAGACAGCGGCCGACCGGGGAAGCGTCGCGCCGCCGACTGACGGACGCAGCAGAAGTGGGCCGTCGTCGGTCGGGGCGCCGTCGGCCCGGCCACTCGGAGAAACTGAGCTCGCTCGCCGGCCGGACCTCCCGACGAGAGGCGCGACCGCCGGCCGGCCGGCCTGGCGGCGGGGTTAAGTGGCGAATAATGCGCCCGGCGATCGTGACACTGGCGGTGTCACCGCTATTATCGTGGCGATTTGTCTCCGCCGAGAGTCCGGCACTGAGCGCTGTTAAACAACCGACTAGAAACGGTGAAAATGGAGAATTAAAACCGCTAACGGGTTGTTTTGTTGAAGCCTGGCAACCAGAAGTAAGATATAGCTTTTGACGTCATTTCGACTGGCTGAGAATAGCTGTTTTCACGACGGGCTATCCGGCGAATGCACCTGATTTGACCAAATCTGCACCTAATTTCTTTTACAGCAAATATCTTCATTTTATGAATTTATTTCAGTGTTTTAATCGATGATGCTATCTGATAATATGACAAAGCAGGCATATAAGCAATTAGTGCAACCCTAGCTGATAGCTGTTAAGAGACACACTGAACCTGATTTGACCAAATCTGCACCTAATCTGTACCAGATGTGCACCAAATGTGTACCAGATGGCCGTCGTGAAAACGGCTAATATGAACTTCAAGTGTCTGAATTGACTTCAAGTAAGCACAGTTCACCTGAGGAACACGCAAGGTCTGGCCAGTGGCCAAGGACAGACACGTCCAAAAAGCGAGACGGCAAGAGGGTTATACCCATAGCTCTCATCCCTGGCGATTTTTTTAGAGAACCGATAGAGCCGGCAAGGGTAGGTAAAATTCAAACAATTTCAGCACAAGCTGCAGACTAATGAAAGCTAGTGCTGCTGTTGATCGATCTTGCATCCTTAGTGTTTATCCATGCTTCAGGGCACAGCAACGGACGGCAACGGACGGCAGGCCCGTCTGTTTCCAGTTTCGGTGACTGGGTGGTTACAACTTATATCGGTATCCTGCCAATTCTTCAACCGATGCACGTAATTTTAATGTGGAAATTCAACTTCTTTGACTTTGCCTTCGTACTTGGCACTATGCATGAGTAACAATATGTATGTTTGTATTCATAATTATAGAGCCACGTTAACGAGTATCGCATTAAGTCACTCTCCCGTTGAGCCTTTGAAGTTCAGTATCTTGGCCGACCTCCAAGCGTTCGTGTTGTGTGCCAGCGGGATGCTATTCAGACTCCCACGATCGATAAAGTGGTGCCTCTTCTCTCTCTCTGGGGTGGCTCCCAGGTCACTTTTACCGGATCTACTGAGCCCCTGTGATCTCCTCTTCAGTCACGCGCAGCAGCCGACAGTGGGTTGTCGCGCGTGGTGTTATGACTATTAATGTATTCAAAATATGTTTCTCTCAAGCTGAGGTTTTCTTCACCAATATCTGACTTGAAAGGTAGGTATTAGTAGATACTGGAGTACCTACTGGGAGCCTTGGTAATGTTTTAGTGACCCAGATAGGTAGAAATCTGGATATAATCGTCAAAATTGCAGGCTCAATAAGTGATGTGTAAAACGTTGTTTTGACACCAGCTATGTAGTTTTATTGGGAGCTTTATTGGGTTCGAGTTTACACATTAATTATGTCCCAGCTGAATAACAACATATACAACTACCTCAATAAGTGATGTATTACAGACAAAAGAAAATACACAGTTTTGAGCGCACTGGACCGCGAACGATGAAGAAGCTAAGAAAAGGACAATTAAAATTTGCCGTTGCATGACATTCAAAGGTTAGATCACGGATGATTATAAAAAACAGCCTTAGCTTAAATGTTTTTTCTTCTTTTTTTTTGCTAACGAAAAACGTTAACTGCTTGACGCTGTGGACCAGTCATTCACCACAGAACAGATTCGGCACACTTCTAAGTTCTATGTATCAAAACAGAACTGTCTATTTTCATAAGGAAAAATGTATAGCTGGCTGTTCAATTGGGCACCGATAGGTTATTGATACTTGGGACTCCCTCTCTAAAACAAAATTAATTCTAACCACGCGACAAGGGCAAAGTAGCACCTGTTTAGGCAACAGGTCGTTTTTATCCCGTGCGCTAACCGCGCGTGGCGAGCCAAAACCCGTTGGCGCTGTGTGGCTAACCACACTCTCCCAGGTAAACGGGACAGGACCAGACACAACCATGACCGGTGCGCTCAACCATCGCCGCGCCGTTTGTTCGCGACCAGCGAACCCTCAGATCTGCTCTTCGGGGTCCGCCCGTTTTTACGAGATTCCCAAACGGCGCATGTGTTTTTGTATGCGCCGCGGCGATAAAAGAGAAAGCCGCCTCCCTCGGCGCGCGGTGCCGCCGCTGACCCAGCGTGCCCCGAGGCTACTCCCTCGCCGACGCCGCCGCCAGTCCAGACTGCCAGAGCAGGATCAGATTCGCCGAGAGTGATAACTTTGCCCAGGAATGCCGCGCGCACTCAGAAGTGGGGCGAGTGTGTTCGAGTGCCCATCAAGGTGCCGGAGCAGCCAGAGCAGCAGACGCCGTATGGCGCATGCAGTTTTCAGTTCATCCAGTTATCAAGTAGTTTGTCAGCTTATTCAGAAATTCAGTCAAGCAGTTGTCCCCTAGTCCAGTCGTCCAGTCCAGTCGTCCAAACATTAAGTCATCCATCCAGCCATTCGTCTATTTTCTATTCGTCCATTAGCCCAGTCGTTGTTTGTCGTTTTGTGCATTCGTCCATTGGTTCGTTTGCTACTCAAACAATTACAACTGTACATTTATTAATTCACCCATTCGTTCAGTCGCTTATTTGCCCTTTATCCATTCGTTCATCCGTACATTTATCCACTCGTCTATTAGTTCAGTCGTTTATTTGTCCTTTTGCACCTATTCGTCCATTGGTTCATTTCTTTCTCAATCATTTGTCCATTTGTTCTCCGTCCACTCATCCAGTCGCTTATTTATCCATTTGTTCCTTTGCCCATTCGTTCAGCCGTTCACTCGTCCGCAGTCGTCCAGTCTCGGATCCATCAAACGATGACACCTGGCACGCGGAAGGTCCGACGGAACATGCTTGGCTTCCATACAGGTGTCGGTCCGTGCGTCGGGTCACTACAAACTAGCTGCTGTCGTTCTCGGTATCTAGCAGCAAACCGTCACGTGACCAAAATATATGCAGGTAGCTGTCGGGTCGCATAGTCACGTGACATGTCGGAGTTCAGACCACCCTCAGATATAGCAGATAGGGGAGGGTCACGTGGTCACTGGAGATGTGTTTGGAATGTCAAACGTCTCCGGTGCCGTCAGTGATCCGTGACCGTCTTATGTCTCTAGATGTTTGATCGAGGTCTATCTGCCGAGTTACAGAGCACATATCTTCATGTTTCCTTCCACACTTGTTCAGTATTTGAACGCGAGTAATTCTGAGACCTACGCACATGCATAATATATCTGTAGAAAGTGGAACAGAGCATTTTTAAGCAATAAGACCTTTCTTAAATGCTGGTGGGAAGGTAGGACTTGTAAAATAAATATATGGCCACATAAAGATTACTCATCAGTTATGCTTTCAACAAGGCACGTGGGTCTACGATTACCTACACAATAACCTGAAAGCCTATATTGTATTTAGAGGAAAGACGAGGAAATAAATTATTTTTAATCAAGCTAGAGCACGGCTAGTTGCCAAGTGCCAAAGAACAGCCAATATACATATACATAAAAGTAAAACACATTCGGGACACTCCGCCAGCATTCCGCAAAGAAACAAAGGTGTGAGCAAATAATGAAATAAATTATCGCCTTTAAAACTGCTTCGGCAGGAAATTCGGCTTAATCAGCTTGGAAAGCACGGCGCGCGCTTGCTTTCGCAGAGAAGCTGGCAGCGGTGTGCGGCCCAAATTCTCGCATAGAAAGTTGCTATTTATGAGTGGCGGCGCGGCGGGCGCGGATTCTAGCGATCACGCTTTATCGGCACGTCCGGAGCTGATGGAGCCGACGGCGATTCGTCACGGGGCGACTGCCGCGACGTCCACAGCCCTTTGTTGACGCCGAACACCGACGTGTAAAGGTGGTGTGGGAATGTGTGAGAATGTGCTGCGTTGTGTGCTACCTACATAGTTCATGAGCCTTTTATATTCTACTGTATAGTCTCTCTTGAAAGTATCGCGTCAGGGGCTGCGGCGGCTCGGCGAACTATTCCATTCAGTTTGGGGACCCCAGCAGTGAGGTCATGGACTGTATCATAAAAAGTACGCTGTAACACGATTCTACGCCAACGGTAGGAGGAAAACTGCTATATGACGCAGGCACCAGCGGCTGACAACTGGGTCAAAACAGGCAGAGGCCGGCCAGAGGTCATGCTCGTATCGCTCTTCCTTGACCCCGTCCACCGCCCCAGGCGGACACCGGCGCCGCTTGGGCTCACCAGCCGGGCGCTCGTCGGTCTGCCTTAGTGGGCGCCAATCACTCAGTGTGCGTGACGCGAAAATCACAGCAAAGCAAAGTTCCGCCATAATCCTACTGTAAAGAGGCCTGCTGAACGACGTCAACAGGTCATGAGGGGGGCAGCCTGGCATCAAATAAGGCTTTTAAAAAGAAGACGGCTGAACAGTACCTAAACATTTTTTTTGTCGCCGCTCACTAACCAGCTCATTAAAAAGAGAGAACTCCAAATATAGGACTGGCTAGAGAGCGAATTGGCGAATTGGCTAGAGAGAGAGAGAGAGAGAGAGAGAGAGAGAGAGAGAGAGAGAGAGAGAGAGAGAGAGAGAGAGAGAGAGAGAGAGAGAGAGAGAGAGAGAGAGAGAGAGAGAGAGAGAGAGAGAGAGAGAGAGAGAGAGAGAGAGAGAGAGAGAGAGAGAGAGAGAGAGAGAGAGAGAGAGAGAGAGAGAGGAGAGAGAGAGAGAGAGAGAGAGAGAGAGAGAGAGAGAGAGAGAGAGAGAGAGAGAGAGAGAGAGAGAGAGAGAGAGAGAGAGAGAGAGAGAGAGAGAGAGAGAGAGAGAGAGAGAGAGAG